AGGAGAACTGCTGTTCCAGGTCCAGTCCAAAGGCCAATAGGTTCAAGACCCAAGAAGTGAAGTTGAAGTCAGGGGAAAGAAACAGTGTTCCCCACTCAAAGGCAGTTGAGAATGAGAAGTTCCTTCTTCCTCAGAGTTGGCTCAGCGTTTTTGTTCTCTTCAGGCCTTCAACTGATTAGATGAGGCCCACCCACAGTAGGGAAGACCATCTGCTTTACTCAGTGGACTGTTTTAAATATTCATCTCAAAGGTTTGCAGGAACAAGTATAAAGAACAGATGAACAAAAACAAGAGGGTGGAAACAGGAGGGAGCTGGGAAGGGCTGGGTGGTGGGCTGGAATGGGAATAAAGGCAGAAAACTGTACTTGAACAACAATTAAAAAAATAAAAAAAATATATTAATCTCATGGAAAAACACCCTGACAGGCACACACAGAATAATGTTTGATCAAATATTGGGGTATACCATGGTCCAGTCAGGTTGATGTATAAAATTATCCATCACAGTATTATTTATAATAAATATAGAGGCAACAAATAAAAATTCTAGTGCCATAATTGGCAAAAGCTGTTTTGACTTTCAGTTCCCTTCATCCTTTAAAAATCTACAGAACTAATAGTTACACCACTGATATAAGACAATAAGTTCTGACTCAGTGTCAGTGATGAGCTTTTATTCATTCATTCATTCACTATATTTCTATTGAGTACATATTATAATGCAGGTATTTGTATAGGTCCTAATATAAAAACCTGTCCCACAAACTCCTCACATGTGCCTTTTTGCAGCTAGGTGTTAATCAATGTTCTAGATAATCTTTTCTTTAAAAATTAATACATGCAGTAGTCTTGATGATATATTTATAAGGAAGAAGATCATAAGTAGCAGCAGTTGGTGACTTACTCTGTGTGTGTTTGCATATGTATAAAACTCATTTAATAAAGCAGCAGTGAAAACTGATAGCAATCCAAAATCAGTATTATCTTACCAATCCTTAATATCATCTGTCTCTGGGCTGTTGACACTCTATTACCTCACTGTTACAGATACTCTCTCAGTTAACTTTTCACCATCACCAGCCATATTTTACAGATAAAGAAGCTGTGAATTTGAGAGCCAGTAACATGCTCCAGCAAGCACACATCTTGTAATTAGCAGCCAGTGACACTGTGATCTGGATTCCTCTCTGGAAATCCTAGTTTGGAAAGTTTGGCTGCACCATGAGCTCCTTCAGGGCAAAGATTGCTTAAATGTTGTGATACTAAATTTCACATAGTAGAGGCTCAGAAATACTAATTAAAATGTTGAGGGCCTTATTAAAAACTTTATTTTTTATTTCTCATCATGTCTCATTATTTCTCCAAATTAAAACAAGTGAATGGGACTGGATGTTAAATGTGTTTAAACTGAATTTCCTTTAGAAGGAAAAAAATCAAAAACACCCAATGGTGACAAATTATTCTTAAACGTTACTTTAATATGCACAAACATAAAACTAGGTATAAAAATCTCTATGCTTAAAGGTATGCCTATATCGCTGTAAAACTAATGATTGACAAAGATACGCAAATAAAACTATAATATTAAAATTAGGAAGATTCAGTTGCAATTCAGATTATGCTTTTTCTCTTAAACATAATCACTTCTGACTGAGAATACACTTGCTGCCTCTTCTCTGTATGCTGGGATGCAAGTTCTCTTGAGTGCCATGCCTTCATTCCCTGATATGTGTGGGCCATCTCAGGTCTGGACCACTCTTCTTTCTGGAACAGTTGGCACGCTTTAGTTCTCTGGGTGATTCATAAATAAATTTCCTTTCAGGTAGTGAAAGGCATTACTTAAAACTGCCTGTCCTTTTTCACTGACTTGTGAAAAGGAAAGCGATACTTTACTCTGATGTAGTTATTCTGGTTTCATGAAGTACCATTAAAGGTCTCACTAATTTCAATAGCTGAAGGTGCTGAAGTTTCCATCTATTCAAATATTTTTCATTTCCTACTCATCAGTTTAAAAGGAAACTTTAGTGTTTGAAGCTGATGAAATCAGTCAATGGGACTATATGCGTGGACATGGGACAATTGTCTTTTTTACACTTGGACAGACCAGTCAGCAGCAATCACACTCGGCATGATTCAAAACACGTGCAATTGTGCACACTGTATCTATGTGGCTGAGATGAACTATAAAGAGATTGACAGAATCATGAAAATGCCTCCAATAATTTTTTGTTTTCCTTCTTTAAACTTTATTTTTACTGTTGAAATTATTACAAATTTTCCTCCTCTTTCCCTGTTTTGTTAACCTCCACACTGCCCCCACCCCTTCCCTCTGGTCATCACCACACTATTGTATTTCATTTACATATAAACTCAAGAACAAATACAGATAAAGAACACAGAGTTAGAATGACACAAACGTATCATGTTTATCTAATCAGTTCCTACATAGCATCTAATGTAATTGCAAATTTGTGCTGAATGAGTCTAACTGGCAGGGATTTTGATTTCATGGGCCACGATTCTCTTTTAGTTCCCTTTGTTCACCAACATAATACATATATATATATTAGGACATATATACATATATATAAGTATATATATGTATATATATATGTATATATATATATATAATCAGGAACTAATATAAAATTAGTTCCTGATGAGTTGATAAGAATGTGCTGTGATGTATTTACTTTGAAATATTCACATGTATTCAATAATATTTTATTTAAAATCCTTCTATTGTCACAAGTACAGAAGTTGCTACAGAAGTACTCATACCTTTACTGTCATAACAATTATGTTTGGGGAAAATATAGTTGGTGCACATATGTAAATTAGCCTACAGATCCAGAATGTTGTGGTTGAAGTTGTAGATATTTTGTTTCACTAAAATTGAGTGTAAGTTTTTCCAAACATGTTGGGCAAAAAGTATAATCCTTGTAAAATTTTCTATGCCTCACAGTTATACTGACCTGGAGTGCTAATAGAATAAGTTTTGCCTGTAATCATTTTTGTTCATGATTGGACATGAGCAATTTCTCTCCCATTATTTTTTTAACTTTTCTTTCATACTCTCAAATGTTTATATGCTCTTTTTCTCATTTATAAAAATATAATAACCTCAACTAGCCAATGTGAAAACCCAGAAAAAAACACCACTTACAAAGATAGATTTTGCATAGTGTTTTCTGTGTGCTATTCACAGAATTACCTTCCTTTTGAGCTTTTCACTCTTCAGTTTTTGCTCACACTTGAAAAATGAACAACACCTTTAGATTTATTTCCTTGAAGGATTTTGGCATTTTTCCAAAACAAACAAACAAATAAATAAATAAATCTCCCTCAGTATTTAAGGTCAGTTAAACATATTGAGAGAATTTCAAATTCCTAGGAAATCTCTGATTATTTTTTACCTTACTGCCAAAATGATTTCAATCTTAATTTATTTTAGTATCAGTCAGTGGGTTGGGACAATCTTTAGGTAGAATATAAACCTTTTGCTTTTGCTTCTGTGGATGGAGTTCTCAAGTTCTGGTTTCTTATCTGACAAACACTCAACAGGAAAGGCTCATTGATCTGCCAAGTACTGTCAGCTGTATGACTTGTTTCTCCTTCAGTAATGTTATCCCTTGAGTTTGTCCAGCCAGAAAAGTGCTGATTTCTTCCAAACCATTGGCAGTGATGCAAATTCAGTGTATGTGTGTGTATGTATGCATGCCCCTATGTATGTGTAGGTGTTTACACACACACCACCAAGAGGGACTGAGTGCAAAGACAAAACCTAGCATTCCTTTAAGGACATGAATCAAATGAGTTATGGAGTGATTGGTGGAGTTGGTGAGGCAGAAGGCAGCCCACTTGAGGGAAGAGGCTGTCAAATGCCAATACCTCATTCAGTGTCTGACAGAACAGCCCCATCCTGCTCCAAGGTTCAGGGAATACCCCCTCACTGAATAGAGCATCCAGGGAATACCTCCTTTCTCCATCCAGAGTCCAGGGAATAAGTCCTTCTTCCATCTAGGGCACAAGTGACAAACACAAGGCCTGTGGGCTGAATCTGGCCCTCAACCTTGTTTTATCCTGCCTGGTACATTGTTTCTACTGTGTGGAAGTGATGAGCTCTGGCTGAACAGTTAAGAATTAGATTCATACAGTCCTAAAATTACCTGTGGCCCTTTAAAGGCAACCACGAGGCTGATATGGCCTCCGGTGAAAATGAGTTTGATACCCCTGATCTAGGGTCACGCAAAATATCCCCTTCCTCCATGGTCCCTAGGTGTACCCACTCCCTCCATCCAGGGTCCTGGGAATACCTCTTTCCTCCATTCAGGATACTCCCTCCTTGAATCCAGGCTCCACAGCATACATTCTAACTCCATAGAGAGTGCAGGGTATACATTCTCACTTCATCCAGGGTCCCACAGAAACTTCTACCCTCTGTCCAGAGCCCCCTGCAAAAATCTTCTCCCTCCATACAGAGTCACAGAGAATACCTTCTCCCTCAATCTATCCAGGGTCCCAAAGAATGCCCCTCCCTCCATCCAGAGTCCAGGAATTACCTTCTTCCTCCATCCACGGTAACCAATGAATACCCTGTCACTCCACTTAGGGTCCCACGGAATAAGTCCATCCTTCATTCAGAGCCCAGGGAATACCCCCACCCTCCATCCAGGATCCATGGAATACCTCCTTCCATCCAGGGTCCCACCAGATATCCCCTCCCTCCATCCATCAAGATCCCATTCTGCACACAATGGGGCATGGGTGAGTGAAGAGACTCCTGCACACCAATTTTAAAATAAAAAAGGGGACAGTTTTGCACACGCAAACCAATGAAACACCTTTAATTATGTAGCGACCAATAACTTCAGCAAGTAAGGATAACACTCAAACATAAAAACTTAACTGGACATTTTGTAGGACAATGTGGCAATAGGCATACTCAGCATGGTGACCAGGGAAAGTCACCCTGCGGCTATTCGGCAGGCAGCCACGGCTCAGTTCTCACTGTCACCCAAAGTGAGCTTGTCAAAGAGGGCCTCTGCCAGGCTATCTTTCGGGGTCCCCAGCTTGCGCAGGTTGGTGATGTGGTCCCCCAACTCTTGGATGAACACCACTTGCTCATGCAGGTAGCCACCCTCCAGGAAGTGATAGACCTGGCCGTGCTTCTCGGTGGCCAGCTGTTGCAGACTCAGCAGGCTCTGCTGCACTCTCTCCGCCAGCTGCAAGGCGCACTCCAGGACCCTCAGGCCATTCTCCCAGTTCTCTTCCTCAGGCCTGGGGATGTTCCACAGGCGGGGCTTGCTGCCACACCGGTTCTGCAGCCCCAACAGATAATCTGCGTGCTCCCTCTCCTTGTTTGACTGCCGAAGGAAGAACAGGCTGAAGTGCTTCAATGCCACATCTCCACGGTCGAAGTAGCAGGCCATGGACATGTACACATAGGAGGCGTGCAGCTGCAAGTTGACCTGGTTGTTGATGGCGGCCTCACACTCCGGGTGACAGTTCTTACCCACATGGCAGGGCGTGAATGCGGTGGCCATGTCTGGTAGCGCAGGTGCGGGGTGGGGGCACCAAAGTGAAGAAGTCCTGGAAGCGGGAGCTGGAGTTTCAGGGTAGCCTCCGAGCGTCCAGTCCCCGGTGAGTCAGCGGCAGTGCACGGGGGTGGTGCTCCAGCGGTCTGCAGCAGGCGACTGCTGTTTGTCTCTGAGATGGAACCGGAAAAGGGAAGGTGGGACCTGAAGACTGAAAAACTGAGCAATTCTCGCGAGTGTTCAAGTGAGGGCGCAAGGAGGAGTCCTGCGAGGGGAGAGTGGTAAAGGGGGGTCTCAGGGGGGTTAAGTGGGCAGGGCACCAGCAGCATGTTCTAGATTCCATCACAGCCTTGGTGAGGCGGGGAGAATCTGTTCTGACCTCTTGACATTTAGTGTTTTCAAGTTTGCAATAATATGTCTATGTTGCCAGGACGTTATCTGTTGTCTAATTCCTTCTATAGGAGACATTTCTTTGTATAGATCCATTTTCTTCCCTTAAAGTTCTGAGAATATGAATTTGAATTTTTGGTAAAATTCTCTTGTTTCCTGTGTTATATCTGGGTTCCCCACCCCGGAAATAGTTCTGTATATTATGTGTATTTTTTTCTTTTATTTTTCTTATACATTTGGCAAATCTGTGTTCCTGTACAGTTAGGAATAAAGGACTTATTTCATCAACCAAGGTAATGAGCAGGCGTCTGGTCTGGAGTTGTGACGTGCATTTCCCTACAGGGCGTCTGCTGCAATGGAAGCCTGGAGTGTGCTGAGTTACTCAGGGGGTGTTCCTTTGAGCATACATGGTATGGCTTATAGGTAGGACAGGGACACTCCTTGTGGCCAAAATAAATAGGATAATTTTGACATTGGAAGATAATACTTTTTTCTTCTAGGTAGATGTGTCCTATTGTTTCCCTTCAACACAGGTCTGCATTGTGTTAACCTCATTCACTGATTTGAAGTGTACTTTGGGCAGATTAAAGGTGTCAGATACCACAGTTGCCTAAAATTCACCCCTGAAGCTATCCACTCCAGGGTGTTTGTTGGGTGTTTTTCTTGTTTTGTTTTGTTTTGTCTGATGACTGCTTTGATTTCCTTACTGGTAAGCCATCTGTTCAAATTTCCACTTTCTCCTTGATTCAGCTTCAGAAAATTGTATGTTTCTCAGAATTTATTCATTTCTTCCAGATTGTCTCATTTGGTGACATATACTTGTTCATGATAGTTTCTTTTGCTACTTACACACCTTAAACACACATTACTATGTCACTCTCCTAGTACTAGTGGGTAGGTGATCAGTGCCCACTGTGGGTAATTAACACCTACTGTGCATGAATGAGTCAGCATAGCAGGACTGCCACCACTGTCTTTAGAAAGGTCTCCCCTGGAGATTGGGCTTTTGGCCTGGTGTCTGGGAACTTTGATCAGGGGAGTGTTCCCACCTTTCCTAATTGATAAAAATGTCATTGTGCCTAGAGTGGGTAAACAATATAATTTACACTGAACACATGTTTTGTTGCTGTGTGTATGAAGTCTTGATACTTGCTAAGCCAAGGGTGCCTACACACCCAGCCCCCCGTACAAACCTGGAGCACTGGGTCTATAACGGCCTCAGAGTTATCTACAAGATGATTCCACTTGGACAACCAATGGGCATCTCAAATTTTACATAATATGGCAGTCCCACCCCTGGACAAAAGTCCTCAAATTAATAAACAGTACTACCATCAACCCAGATATTCAATTCTAATCACCAGTACCTAGATTATTTCCCTCCTTTCTCACTCTTCACCTCTGGCCCATAAGCTGAATTTATCAGCTCATCCAGTCCCTGTGAAATTTGCCCACCTCTCTTCATTTTCTCAGTCACCACCAGAGTTCAACCCCCAGTGCCTTTCACCTGGATCAGCCACAAGATCTCCTAACTGGCCTCCCAGCTTCAGCTCTCCCCCTCCCTCTACATTCTTGAAAGCACTGAGTCACTGATAACGTGCAGGGGAATGTGTGCTACTTCATATTCAATACCAGGAATTTGACTTTCAGCCTTGATCTTATACTTCTCCATCCTATGGATATAATTTCATGTTTGGGGTATCATGCTGACCTAGTGAAAGAAAGAGGACAACTGAAGCAAAAAACTATATTTGGAAGTTTTGTAAGGGTACAAGGCATGACCAACATGGGGACCTTGGGAAGGCACTCCCATGTCTCTGGGAAAGCCAGCCTAAGGCTCAGCTATCATTGCAGTTGCTCAGTGAGAGCTTGTGGAACTGGTACTCTACAGGGAACAGATCTGTGTGGTGTGGGGAATGTAGCCCAGCCCCTGACTGAGAAAATCCAGTGGGGAACGAGTCGACACACCGGACCTAGGCCCACGGATAGGTTCTCCCATGGGGAATCAGGCCTGCATTGTACCTAGGCTGCTATGAGTCTTCTTTTGCTAAAGTTCCCTCAGCCTGGATTAAGGCAGCAAATGTTTACTGCATACCTTTAAAGTAATTTACTAAAACCTGTGCTCAACCTCCCAAGTATGGAGTGTAACCAGTTCAACTACCTTTCCCCTTGATCTGTCACATACTTTCTTTGAAGTAGTTAGAGACATTCTTTCCTTTGTTATCTGTATAAAGCAATCACCTACATGGAACCTGTGCATAGTAAATGAGGACCATCCTGGATGTAATGTATCCAGAAACACAATTAAAGCTGGTCCAGGCAGGGGTCTCAGGCCCTTTCTCTCACTTAGAGAGTGGCCACGCCATCCCTTTTACTCCACAGGACTTCTGTAGTCCCTGTGAATGTGTTCCTTGCAGCCACAGCACAGGGACCCTGCGGGCCCAGGTCTCCATCAGTACTCTACCAAGATCACTTCTGGGGTCTTCATCTTGCTGCATAGGTATTGTTAAGAAACATTAACATTTGCATACTATAGTAAACTACAAACCTTCAGGTAAAGTCTAAGAACCCTCTTATTCTTGCCCAATCTCACTCTGTTTATTGTTTCTCCAGTGGCAAGCACAGCAATAATTTGAGGCCAGGCTTTGTATTTGGAGCATGGACATGCATCTGTTTCACCAGGGCCCCAGACCATCCACCTGACTGCTCCCTGCCATATACCACATGGTTTCTAAGGAGCAGATAACCTCTGCATTTTCCAGGATCCCAAGGAAAACCCTCTCACTCCATCCAGGGCCCAGGGATGCCTTCTCTGTCCATTCAGGGTCCAGGGAATACATACTCCCTCCATTTAGGACCATAAAATACCCCTTCCCTCCATGTGGGGTCCAGGGAATACATCCTCCATGCATTCAGGGTCCAGGGAATATAACCTCTGTCCATCAAAGTTCCCTACTACATGCCCTCCCTCCATCCAGGGTCCCAAAAGAGCTCCCAGCTCCTCCAGGTTTCAATGAATACCCAGTCTCTCCAACCATGGTCCTGGGTGTACTCCCTCCTCTCATCCAGTGTCCAAGGAATTCGTTCTCCCTCCATTCAGGGCCCAGATAAAACACCCTCCATCCATCAGGGATCCAGGGAATAACCCCTTCCTCCATCATGTGTTCCACAGAATGCCCCTGCCTCCATCCAGGACCCAGGGATTATCCTCTACCCTCAACCAACATCCCAGGGAATGTCCCACACTCCTCCCGGGTCCAGGTAATATAACCTGCCTCCATCCACAGTCCAGGGAATTTCCTTTCTTCCATAACGGGTTCAGGGAATAACCCAAACCTGCATTGAGGGTCCAGGGAATACTGCTCCCTCCTTCCAAGGTCTCAGGGATATACCTTACTCCATCCAGTGTCCCACAAAATGGCCCCACCTTCCTACAGGGTCAAGGGTGTATACTCTTCCTCCATCCAGGTTCCAGGGAAAGCCCTCTCACACCTGTCATTTTCCCTAGGCTCTCTCCTAGAGCCTAGGGAATAACCCCACCCTCATTCCAGTGTGCATGGAATTACCCTTCCATTCATGCAAGGGCCAGGAAATGAAAGCTCCCTGAATCCAGGGTCGAAAGAATATTCCCGTCCTGCTCTAAGTTTCAGGAAATACCACTCCCTCCATCCAGCACCCAGGGAATACCTCCTCCCTCCATGCAGGGTCTAGGAAACACCTACTCCCTCCATCAAGATTCCAAGAGAAACTCCTCCCTCCATCCAGGGTCCCACAGAATGTCCACCTCCTTGCCCAGGGTTTACCCCTACCATCCATTAAAGTCCAGGGTATAGCCTCTCCCGCCAATGTGGTTCCTAGTGAATAGTCTCCCTCCATCCATGGCCCAGGAAATACATTGTCCTTCCATTCAGGGTCTAGGGAATATGACCTCCCTCAACCTAGGGTCCAGGTAATATTCCCTCACTCCATCCTGGGACCAATGGAATGCCCCTCCATCATTCAGTGTCCCACAGAATAACCACAACCTCCTCCAGTGTTCAGGAAATACCACCTCACTCGATCCAGAATGCAGGGATGCCTGTTCCCTTTATCCAGGGCCCAGGGAATACTCCACCCACAGGACTGGATCCCACAGAATGCTCCTCCCTCCATCCAAGGCCCAGAGAATAATTTCTTCCTCCATCCAGGGTCCAGGAAATACCACCTCCCTCTGCCCAGTGTACAGAAAATATCTTCTCCCTCCATCCAGTATGCCAGGCAACCCCCTCTCTATATGCAGGGTCCAGGTAATGGCCCTTCCCCCATGCAGGATCCACAAAATACCTCCTTCCTCTATTCAGGCCCCAGTGAATACACTCTTCCTCCATCCAGGGTCCCAGGATACCCCCTGGCTCCAGACACTATCCCTCAGAATACCCCACTCTGCTCCAGGGATCAGGGAATACCTCCTCCCTCCATTTGTGGTCCCAGGAATAGCCCCTCCCTCTATCCAGGGACCACAAAACAACTCCTCCCTCCATTCAGGGCCCAGGAAATACTCTCTCCTACAATCCAGGGTCCCAGGATACCCCCTCTCTCTATCTAGTGTCCCACAGAATAGCCCCACCTTCCTTCAGGGG